CTCACATACACATGCTGGGATGCGAGAGCAGTCAGTGCTTCACAGCACCAGGCTGGGCCAGCACAGCCTCTGCAGGACAGGGGGACAGGAGGCTTCCCAGCCCTGAGGGTGGGTAATGGCCCCTCTGGCCCTAACACACCACTTCATCACACAATTTGTGCTGAGACACCCCAGGATCACAGCGACCCCCATTAACTAAGGGCCAGTCAAGTAACGTTATTGAAAATACCATGGAGCCTTAAACACAACAGCTCAGCTGAAATAGGTGTCAGGCAGAAGAAAGCTTGAATTACATGACTGGAGAGGTTTATCAGCACACTCTTACACTGAGAATTTACCCAGAGATCTTGTTGCTTCATGTTTAACATTGAGGATACAGCTGTGCCTTTTAGGGTGAGTGAGGAAGATGGAGTGGCTGCATTTATGTTTGCCATCCACATCCACCCAGAAGGGGCTGTGGAAGGTTTTCTTGGCAGGGTGCTCAGGCTGTTCCTCTTCTCGGGCAGAGAAGAGGATTAGACCAAGGATTATTAATTTGTGGAGCGATGTTTTTGTGTCCTGTGAGTAACAGCCCTGTAAACTCTCTCCCCTGCCGAGCAAGAAGATGTCCTATGAAGGGTGATGCAGCACTCTTTCACTCCTCCCTGCTGACCTCTCAGAAGGCATGCTACGAGGGTTCAGGTCACCCCAGAACCAGTGTTTCTTTACATCCCCTGCCAAGCAGGGTGGCAGCTCACACAAAGCATGCTCTTAAGGCACATGATGTATTTCAGTCATGCTTAAGTCCAAAACCTTCTGCCAAGAACAAGCTTGTTAAAAGCTGCTTTAGTCAAAAAGATGGAATACTAAGCTGCCTGCCTTTACAAGACAATTGCTCATAGGAGCTGAAATTCAGACATTTTCCTTTGGAATAAGCTGGCTGGATCATTTCAGTCTTTTGGGGGTATAAAGCGCAAAGAAACTGCCAAAACAATTTTAAAAAATGAGTTCTATACGTGGCTGGGAAGCAATCTGTATGTTCTGCTGGAAGAGGCTGCCCCACACGTGCCGGGTGCCTGCAGATCCAAGCCATCCTCCTCCTTGTGCTGGAGTGCTGTGCCCTTGTCTGCTGATGGGCAGAGCCCTATTTAACACAGGGCTCCTAGGCTCCTTGGCAGCACTGGAGCAGTGGGCTGGCTTCTCTGCCAATAAGGGCCAGTGGTAAAAGGGAATAGCTCACATTTGCTAAGGATGTTGGGTATATAGGAAGAAAATCAGTTTAAACTGTATTTAGCAAAAAAAGCCCTAAGCCCTTACCTAATTTATAAATCAGGCAGCCAGAGCATCCTCCAGCCATATTACCCAGGCTGAATTTTTGTCAGATTTTTGTCACCAAATCAGTAGCATTTGCTCAAACAGAAACATGCAAGTTTGACATGCAAGTCAAACTGCAAAAATAATTAAGGTCCAAAGTCATAGTTCAGTAGATAGCATGTTTCTATCCAAGTAAATACAACTAAATAAATATCAAGAGGAGGCTTAGTGCTTTTATTTGAAATCTGGAAGACAGCTTTCAACAGTCTGAGAACACAGTCTTCTCCTTTTAGCCTTTGGCACACAAAGGACTCCTGGAGTCCCAGATGCTTCATGGAACCATGGAATTGTTAAGGTTGGAAAAGGCCTCTAAGACCAAGTCCAAGAATTAACCCAGCCCTGCTAATTCCACCACTAAACCATGGCCCTAAGTGCAGCATCTACACATCTTTTACATCCCTCCAGAGAAGGTGACTCCACCACTTCCCTGGGCAGGCTGTTCCAGTCACTGAATTTTGGTAAAGAAAATTTCCCTAACATCCATCTTAAACCTCTGTGGCACAACTTGAGGCCTTTTCCTCTTGTTCTATCACTTGTTACCCAGGAGAGAAGTCTGACCCCAGCTCACCTCAGCAAGGTGTGGGATTGCTGAGCCAGATCTGGCTGGCTGTGTGCTGGTGGCCCTGAGAGCATTGCCATGGCAGTGCTGGACAGAACAGAGATAAAATCTCTGCTAGGTCTGGGAAAGCACTCATGATTTTATGTCCCAGGCAAATCTGGTTCCCAGTGCAGCCTAACAGAGAGTGAACTGCTTTTTTTTTTTCTTATTTTCTTATCCAAAGGGTCTAACAAGACCTCAGTATGTGTTGTAGAAAATCTGATGCCAGCAAATGTGATAATTTCTGTACCTGTACCTGTACCTGTACCTTCAGGGATTCTTCTATAAATTTATCCTTTTACTCTAATTGCTGTGGATATTTCAGTCCACAGTGTAATTCAACAGAGCAAATCAAAGAGAAGGCTGAAAAGGATAAAAGTTTCTTTCCATTGCATTCAATTGGGAGTTTCCCCACAACCTGTGTGGCAGTAATAGGCTTAGAGTCTTATTTGTACAGTAATGCTTGATTTACTTGTTTCTCCTCTTCTTCCTTTCTCTTCCCATGGTGGCACATTATTGTTTCAAACGACTGATCTTTGCTGTGGTCTCTTGTTTCCCACAACTTGCATTGCTGGGATGTTTACTTCCAGGATTTAATTCTAATTTAGCTACTACACTAATCCTTAAATAAATCTTTTTCAGTTCAACTCTTTCCCTTAGCCCTATACACCAATGTTTACACTAATTTAAATAGGCAGGATATTAGATTAAAGTTAATTGAGGGAGTCAACACACTAATCCAGTTTCTACAGGTTTGCACCCCTGAAGGAAATATTAAGAGCAGCCATATAAATTTCAATTCCTCATACAGTGAAGGAGAATATATTTAGAGGGTAACCTACTATTTGGTTTTAGAAACCCAAATCTTTTGTATCATAAGTTTTGTCAAGTAGTCAAACATAATGTAAGACAACACAGGCAGTTGTGTAAGCTGAATCCTCTTGCTTTCCCATTCCAAGACTCAGGAAAGCTGTCTGAACATAGCTGGAGAAACTACAGGTATCCTTGAGAGCGAAACACAACATATTATCCAAGTTTAACAATCCATACAGTACTTCCAAACAGTACAACTACAATTAAAAAAAATCATTCTCAACAACTTGAGTTAAATGCTGTGAATGTCATGTTTTTTAAAGAGACAAGGCTGAATTTTTAAACCAGCTAATCTAGTAGTTTGATTTCTAGCTCCCAAGTTATTAGACTGTGGGTGCAAATTTTCACCTATGATCATGCACACAATTTAAAGTGTATAAGTATTTTTCTAAAAGCTGATACAGTGATACCTAAGCAATAGAAACATAATCAGATTAATACAGGGAAAAAAACCAAAACAGCAACACTACCACTCAAATATTTTAAAAAATTATGTTCCACAGATGGTTTTTTTTCTGCAGATTATATGTGCTCCGTGTGGGCTGCACGTTGTAGCCATTTTCTTGCATTGTGAGGGCACAGAAAGCTATGATGGGAACATGGATGCTGGTGGGTAATTTTTTATGATGTAACACTGGCATTGAAATAGTAGATTCCAGTAATAATTTCTTTATGTTCCATATTGCATGGGTGCAAAAGAATAACTGCAGCTGTGTATTTAATTTCTGTTTTCAAGAGTTACAAAGAAACTTAGCAATGGAGAGGGAACAGAACTACACATAAAGTCCAAAACAATACCTGTGAAATGTCTCCTTTTGAAAAAAATGAAAATCCATTTTTGACTAGGACAGCCTGGAGTTCCCAGAGCTGAAAGCCACATGGAGTCGCACCCCTCTCCTTTCCAACTGCTACCTTTCTTTCACGTCTCCCTGCAACGAATTAGATGCTGACTTAATTAATAATGTGACCCAGGGTGAAAGTCAGCAGTCAATGTCAGGAAATCAAATTCTGAACTCCTACCAATCACTTGCCCATAGGCCAGGCACATATTTATGTAATAAATCCACTCACTGTACTACGTCGAACGCTGTTAAAGCCCAAATGCTCTGGGGCAGGAGTTGTAGCCTTTCGCTGCCAGGTAGGTGTTTACGAGCCTGGTAGCACCAGAAGCGTTTCTGGAGCCCACAAACATAATTTAGCTGCAGTAATGTGAAATTACTGAGCCTGTCTCGTGCCGACATGTGTTACACGCAATTGTAAAAAGGAAAAAACTTTAACAGCTTAGCCACAAAGGAATGTTTATATCTGATTACACTAACTGCTAATTTAATGGTAGTTAATCAGTGGCATGTAATACAAGCCGAGCAGTCCAATGGATTTATTGATGAATGGCATTTAAAGTTGTTGCTGGAAAAGCAGTGCAGCAGTGGGATTTCACAGGCAGGCACAGAGCCCTATCGAGCAGCAGTGCCTCTGCTAAAGGCAAAGTTCTGCTGCAAACCCTGAGCTACCCCAAACTTCCCTGAACAGCAGGGCAGCCAGGAAGCTCAGGCCCATTCCTGCACAGCACAGAGGAGATCCCCTGGGGTCATTACTAGTAAGTGCCACACTGCTGAGATGAGCTCTGAATTTCAGGGAAAAGCAGGGACCCCCCACAAGCCTGTGTGCTGCTCCTGCCCACCTTCCACCAGTGGAACAAATGTTACCAGGGCTACAATTTGAAGCTTAAAGACAGGGTGGGATTTTTATTCTGTGCTCCTCGTGGCTATAGGGTCTGTAAGCTACAAGGGGCACACCTCTGCCCCACTGATGGCACAGGGGCTGAGCGATGGAGGCAGCCCCAGTGCAAATGCAGCATTGGCAGCTAAACAGCAGCATCACCTCCCTGCCTATCCCTGGGCTGATGGGGTTCAGTTAGGGGCATGGTAAGGAATGGTACAGCTGCCTTAAGCCCACTGGCAGGTATTGATTAACCTGGATGCACACTCTTCAGCCCTCCAAACCTGACCCCCACAGCTGCCACGTACCATGGAGCTCGTTTTCCCTAGTATGAAATAGGAGCAAAGGGAGTCAGTGAAGCAGTGCAGGAAGCAGATTATCATGGAGTGTATCTATGCCCAAGATTAAAATACAGAGAAAGACTTTTAAAGAGGACCAGACTGAACCCTTTACTCACAGAGGCTTCTTGGAGAGGCTGCTGCTCCCTGCTCTCCCCAGAGTGCTGCAGCATCCAGATATCCATCCTCAGCCCCCTGACCCTTTGGCCAGCTGAAATCATCCTGAATTTTTACTCCTGACTTGGTTGGGATGAGGCCAGCTGCCAAGCAAAAAGCATCTGTAAAGGAGTAAAAAGCTGGAAGTTATGTCAGTTATTTATTAATGGGAGGCAGTTTACTGAATGCTGCCAAAATTTAAGAGCTTCTGTTTCTTTGCAGGCTTCAGTTCCTTCTTGTGCAACTGTCAGGAATATGTCCAACAATGCCTATTCCATGAGCAACCTCTTTTTATCATTTAACTGGAAGATTTCAAAGACACAAGATGGTGAATTTTCAGACTATTAGCAATAGCCACATGAAGAATTGATAAAGAAAAACTATTTTACTTGGAGAGATCTGCCAAATAAGGTGCCTTTAAACCCAGCACTGTAGTGACAGGGCATTGAAGAAGGGCACACTTGAAAGATAAAACCTCATCACAACCTTAATATTGTATTAAATTCGTCCTGATGATATTACTGCAGGAAAAGCAGAAAAACCAGCATAGCAATAATTTTTTGTTCAGAATTAAGTGCAAGCCAGCCCTGAGAGGAGACAGTCCATTAAATCATCTCCCAGCTCCAGGGGAGGTATGGGGAGCCCCAGCAGGCTCCCAGTTTATGATGGAAATAGGAGGGATGCTAAACCAGTTTCACCCTCCTGGAGCTATTCATTTATTTATTAATAAAATCTGGCATTAACATTATAACTCCTGGAGATTGTGCATGCATCCTCACACAACCCAGTTGCTGCTACCCTCCTTAGCAGCCCTGGTGAGGCTGGTGCACTTGGAAAGGACTGGGAGAGATGGAATGAAAGTCCTCTTCCTTCTTAGGCACTGAGAAGCCAGATACCTAATTTATCTACACATCCAGGCTTCCTCTGTAATCAATAGCCCCCAGATGAGGTGGAATGAGACTCTTGTCAGGTGCTTTCTGCTCATTTCTATCTAGTTGAAGGAATCACCCACAGGAAACTCTCCTCACCAGTGTTAAGGGCCCAGAGCTGACTAGCAGGAGATGAAACCATTCCCCTCTGGGTGGGTATCACTCAACCTTGTGCCCTTTCTCATTGTGTTCTTCCTGAGGGCCACAGCTGGGAATGCACACAGGCAGCCACAGACCCCAAATCAAAAGAAAGTCAAATTGCATTTGGAGTTAGATGTCAAATGAGAACAAAATTGCTGAAAGTATGCAAAAAAAAAAAAAAAATCAAGCTTGCATTTCCCAGAAATAAGGAGATATTTCTGGTCTTCCAGGATCCACACACACTCAGCACAGAATTAAGGTCCCCAGCAGTATCTGGACAGTCAGCACCTCTCTTAACAGGTTTACTGGGACCAGCAAGATAAGCAAGTTAAGGATGGGCTTTCCCCCTTGTCTTGTCTCCAGCAGGGAAGACATGGGAAGACTTATTCCAGGGAAAGTGCAGAAACAGAGGAGGAATGCCATGGTGGTCTGTGGGGAGCTGGGGCTCCAGAAAGAGAAACACCGAATAATTTAGTTTGGAAAAGACCTTTAGGATCATCAAGCTCAACATCCTTCACTTAGTGTGAATCCCATAGGGATGGACTCTGGCAGCTCAAATCAGTGGAGCACTGCTGAAAGTAGCAGGACAGAAACCTCCCTTGTCCCACAGCCTGACAGGATCCCACTGATCCGTAGCCAAGAAGCTTCTTAGCAGCACTGCAAATGTTTATCAATCATATGAGGGGTACAAACAGCATTACTCACCCAGGGCAGGAGAGCCCAGCTCTGCACATAGCTCTGTCAGAGCAGCCCAAGAAGTCATCCAGAAGAGAAACATTCCAATTAAACACAGAAGGCTTTTCTTGTGTGGAGCTGGAGCCAGCTGCACTGTGAGCTAAGCGCAAACCTGCATGTGCCACTGCACCAAGTGCCCACAAATGTGAGTTCTGTCACCCTGTACACAAACATCAGCTGGGACTCTTCACTTTCCTCTGGGCCATTCTTGTTGTGCTGATCCTGTTCTCAGCGCTGCACATTTTTGAAGAAAACACTAAATAATGATGGTGCTGGTCACTTCTGAGGCAAGGGAGAGTCCACACACAGGAGGGCTTGTTGCTTGCTGATTTCCAGAGCCAAATTTTTTATTTCTTTCCAGCTCTGCACATAGAAAAAGCAGCAGTGCTAGACACAGAGTGTGCTGTGGAATTTGTTGCTGGTTGGGTATAAACAGCCTGTCCTATGTATTGACCTAATGTAAACAGCCAGTAGCCTGTATAAACAACCAGCAGTTGAGCTCAGGCAAAATGAAACCCCAAAGTATGTTTGAGCAGCAAGAAATGAAATGTCAATACATATATTCCTAACTTGCAAGCTGTTGTTTTCTGCTTGCCAGAGAGAATGATCTTTTTTGAAAATTTCTTGGAAGTTTGGCATTGTGTTGTTTGTTTCTCCATAAAACAGGGTCGCCAGGGGGATGTTGCTGCCATCCCACGGTTCTGTGCCCATGGCTGAGCTTCTCCCAAAATGGGACTGCCAGGGAATGAAGGAACACAGCAGCACCAAAGGAGCCTCAGAGGAAGCAGATTCAACCCCAAAATCCCACCAGAAATTTTGCAAGTTTCAAAACTTCCCATTAGAAAAAAATTAAGACAAAATTATTTGCTAGATCAAAGCAAATATGAGTATCCACATAGTCATCTTGAAGAATAACACTGCCCTGAAAAGTTGTCTTGTTTCTTACAAAACTCCTCTTTCTTCAGGGTAGCAGTTTATCAGAAAGCAGCATCCATTCCAGAATTATGCTCCTCCTTCTCTTTTTTAACTCATTTGAGAGGCAGATTTCTTTGAAAATTCCAACCATTTTTACAGAAATGTATGAAATACTCTTTAAAATTCAGTTCAGAGATTAAGTTTAACCTTTACTGTAGATTTGATCACATGAATATTGTGCTGCTTTTCTGAGAGGGAAATATTGGACTGAGCTAAAATTAAATAGACATGGTGCAAGAGAAGGGAGGGGGTGAAAAGGGCAAAGAGATAAAGCAGAAAGGTGGACCCTCATAGAGATATACTTAGCAACAGCAGGGAAAAAATAAATAGGTGCTGTTATTTTGTGTGGCTGAGAGAAACTACAGAAAGCAAACAGGCCTTTTATCTTGAAATAATCCATCTGACTTCGGCCCACCTTGGCAGAGAGCTGTTTGCTCTCCAAGGAGAAAGGAACCAGATGGTTCTCATATTTCTAATGGCTGCATATCTACATGACAAACACCATCTTGGAGGTTAGCAGTAAGTGCTGGAAGCTTCATAGCTGTGTGAGGGGAGCAAATGATTAAGAGAACATCAACACTTTCTTGTCTTTATTTTTTCCATTCTGTGTTTTTGAATGGGTTTTTCTTAAACTCCTACCCTAAACTAGTGCAGAATGGGAAACACCCTCCCAGCAAGGGCTGCTCATCAGACACCAAGGCTGCATCTGCACCTTCATGGAGTGGATGGTGGTGTGATTCTGGTTTGATGCCATTTAGCAGTTCTCACCAAATGGATTCATTGCAAATGTACAGAGTTTGTCCAAAGACAAGCTGTCTACTACAACCATGTCACTTGCAGGATGGTTGACTTTTTGCATCCATACCAAGAGTGAAAATTCAAGCAGAACTCAGCCTGAGGTGAGCCCTGCTGGGCCATAATGTATTTGGTTTCTGTACTGCTGAACCATGTAATGAATCCCAGGGTTGGTGCTAATGCAAAACTAGTGGCGATGTGCTAAATGGTTTAACTGCTCATAAAATGGTGGCTAGCCACCTGTCCAGCTTTTATTGGGCAGGGAAGTTTAGCCTTAGTAATAAAACCATACATATTGAGTTACAGTGGCTAGCTCTTAACAAAAGCAGGAAATAAAATTAGAAATTAATTAAAAGAATTATGTTACAAATAAGGTGTCAGAGTGGCAAGCAGGCTGATGTCTTCCCCTCACTGTCCTGAAGGACACGGGTTCTCATTTAGAAGGTTTCACAGAAATATGACACGAAACTACTTTAAAGCAACCTTGAGCTCTGTTTAACTATTCATGGGAATTAATCAGAGTAAACATTAAGAACCCACTTACCCTGAAGCCCATCAGGGTAGCTGCACCATTCAACCCTGCTTGGTGTAATTACTGTATTTTCATTACAAAAACAAGATTTTGCCTCAAATTGCTGAGATGCGTGAAATAAATGCTCTATGTGGCTTTTGGGAATGGGAAACTATGTTGATCCTGCTTTGTTTACATTTTCACAAAATGGAAAAAAAAAAGTACTTTAAAAATAAACTTACTTGAATATTAACAGGAGGAAAAACAATGCCTTTGCAAGTATCATGGGCAGAATGATTACTGTCCAAATAAGACTTAGAAATAATAAATTAAATTGAAATCTTGCACCAACTAACCTGGGCATAACCACTTATCCATAATCAGTAGTAAATCCCAGCTCCTTGAGGACTCTGCAGGGGGTGTATAAATTAATATCTGTTAATTACAGCTGTTTCCTATTTCCTCTACAGCAGTAAAGACAGCAAGCTACTGCCCAACAGTGATGCTGAAGCTCACCTCAGGAGAGGTGTGCTTCTAGTAGGTCACACTTGCAAAAATAATTTTAAAAAGCTCATCAAGGACTTTGCTCTGAAGAGAATCTGAGTATCAGCACAATTTTCCAATAATAACATTATCTGGAGCATGTGTGTACTTATACATGTTTATAATGTATATACTTGGACTGTTCTTTCTCCATGCACAATTTGTTCATATTACAAACATGGCATTTCTTTAGGACTTTGCCAAAGACCTCCCAAACTTGGGAGAGGAGCAAGCAAGTGATGGTATCTCACTATTCTCTTTTTACAGGTCACCATGGTCACCACCATCACTATGCTGTGGCTGTCCCCCCTCACAGGTATAAGCCACTTTCTGCAGCTTCTGTAGGGATGGGCACTCCAGTGCAGCCAGGTTGGCCTCCTGGGCACTAACACCCCAAACTGGCGCTGCAAATAATTA